GGGGGGGGGGGGGGGAGAATAGCCCCCCCTAAACTACACATAGGTCCGCCCATGACCATAAATAATCAACATATTTATGGATAAATTGGACATAATTATTTTTGTATTGGAAGTCAATCAATATCTACCCAAGTCAAATAACGAATCATGTAATTTTGACACATAGGATCTCGAAACATGCGAGTCTACTATTTATGTTCAGTACGTTCTGAATTAATATATTAGAGCATCTTCAATGCTTTAGGTCTAGTCTTGTATATGTGAAATGTAAATGAACCTAAGTCTTGGATGACATGGACAAAAATTTATAAAATTAACAAAATCTACTTCAATGCAAGGAGACTAAGTCTCTACTTGGGTCTAAAATGGACTTAAGGGTAGACCGGGTCTCTTTTTCTGGCTGTCACATCAGCAGGACCCAGTCCACTTTTGTTTGCATTGGAGAATACATTTTTTTAGACTATGTCGATTTCTTATGTGGCATACAATTTTTTGGAATTGAACTCATAGCATTGTAGATGCTCTAAGGGAATTCCTTCAAAATTTACTTATAATTTTGAAATTAATTTATTTTCTTATTTGTCTACATTCTAAATGAGAAGATACTCCGAATAATTTATGTACCCGATGATAGGCTTAGCCTTTCATGGTAATTCTTAAAACGATTACGAGTCAAAGGTAGGTTATATAGTGTTGGACATTGGTATGGAAGAATCAAATAAATGTCCAACTCGCGTGTACAGAATCCAGATATTTGTCATCGAGATCAGGAAACAAGACCCGTCTACAATATCTCCAAGGATAAATTAATTATGAATATATTATGACAATACAGATATATATTTATAATCAATACAAATTCTTGGACTAATAGTTGGATCAATCTATCATATTTTTATGAATTATATTTTTTTATCGTGTATAAAATTTTAATTTAAATTATATATATATATATTGAAAAGTATGGCTCTCTTAGCCGGACGTGTTTAACCTTTAACTTTTACTAGTGATGAGTTATTCTAATAAAATTTTTTCTCAAGTATTATTGAGCTATTCACTATAAGAACATGATGAAATTTTAATAAAACGTTATAAAATTATTATTTTCGTTGAAATTTTTCAATTGATGGTGTCTTCCTCTTTTAGTAAATATTTTTCGTGTAATTTATTCAAATATGTAATCATACGTGCAATTATTTTTCGCGTAAACACTATAATACTAATAATAATATTTAGAGAACAATATTGTCATATTGTGTGCATAGAATCAAATACAATAAGTAAGAAGTTGATTTTCTATGTGTAAAAAAAATAATTGCAAACAAAGGCCTACGAAAATCAATAATTGTGATGTGGACATAATCAGGAGGCGATTTTGATGGATGCTAGGGTTTTTTTTAGCTCGACAACCTATGAATAATGTTCCTTTCACAATTATTTTTTAGCGATTATTGTTTAGTTCAAAATGTTATGATCACTCATAATAATTACTCGACTTCTCTTGGAGTGTGTTGCGCTTCAATTAGGATTCACAATGTAATATGGATCTTTATCGTATTATTATTACATTAAAAGTTAATAGTAGTAAATTATTATACAAGTTGATGAAATAACTATTATCTATTAATATATAATAAGAATTAACATAATTCACTTTTAGTAATCTTTTCCCGCCAAATTCATTAATTATAGCTTAAAAATAATAACTTAACAAATTTTCATTAATTATTGGCTAACTATATTATATATGTTTTTCCATTTTTGTTTTTTTATTTTTTTTTTATGATATGGAATGAAAATTCAAAACAATATCATATTTTTGTGGGTCCATATCAATATGGAATTTAGAATCTCTTGCTTTACGATATTATATTAGAAAATATATTAATACTTTGATATCTATTAATATATAATAAGGATTAACATAATTCACTTTTAGAAACACTTTCTCGCTAATTTCATTAATTATTGCCTAAAAAATAGTAAATTAACAAAATTGCATATATGC